TTAATATATATGTACATACATGTGTATATGCTATAATATACATACATTTATTATTATTAGTAGTATACAGAGAACATCGAACAAATTTAAAATCTTACATTAATTTTGTTCCGAAGAATAGTTATTTGTAAGATATTCTTTGCTTGGTTCTACCTATGATTATCGTACACATTTCTATTATTGCTTTTTGGTTAGTTAGTCAGCTAGTTTTTTTTTTTTTACAAAGTTTTTAACTACAGAAAACTATTTTATATAAAATCTTTCAAATATTTTTATATGAGCATGAATATAGGAATATATTATGTTTTCTACCTATCTATATATGTATGTATACATACGTATGAAATATTTTACTAAATGTATGTATGTACACATGTTCTAGTATGTAACTTATTACAACAATATTCACACCGATATCGATAAAACGAAATTTTAATAAAAGTTTTTTTTTTTTTCTTATGTTTAATTTCAAATTTTTTTATTTGCTTTTTATTTTATGCTCCTTTAAACATAACCGGTATACTAGTTTAATAATTATACCAATTTTTCTATTAAAATTTCGTTCTACCGTGTTTATAAATCATAACCTAAATATGGAATCTTTGAAATCAAATTAATGCCCCAACAATATAATACCCCCAATTTATTTAACATTTTCGTATTCCTATGCCGTGATATGTATTGTATATCGAATGAAAATTTCGTTAATTCGAGCTTCACATTTTGCTAATAATTAAAAAATAATTTACAGTTTTTTTCAACTTAGCTTTTTAACCATGAAAATTTACGGGACCATACGAAGTCAATTGATTTACATGATAATTTTCCCATGTGATTAGATATTGTATTTATAAAGTGTATTATTAAGTATTTCTATTTATGTAGGCATTCTTAATATTTTGGTGTTAAATTAATAGAGGAGCTTGAATACTTATTGGTAAATTGACAATGATAACAGAAGCAGTATTTAATAACAACGGCAACGTTGAATGATATAAAAAAAATATCAAAAAGAGAAAAAAAAAATTTACGTATAATAATAACAATAATAATAATAAAAAGAACAGAAAAAAAAATCATTCCTTTCTGTTTCTAGTGTGCCGTTCAAATCTCTTTTCGGTTTCCCTCTCTTTCTAGCTACTTTTATATTGAATCTTTTCGTCACTGCACTTCTCTTTCTTTTGGCTTATCTTTTATAAATTTTATGAAGAGAAACATAAAAAAAAAAGAAGAATAAAACAGAAGAAAATAAATAAATAAATAAATAAATTTTTTTTTTTTCGGTTTGCTACCATTTAGTTACCGTTCTAGTTGCTACTTGATAAAAAGAAACTCTAAATATGTAAGTGAAAATCATCTGTATGAACTTAAAATAATTTCAAAGAAATTCGTGTACTTACATATGTGCGTTTCATTTCACATTTAACAGATTTATTTAAATATTTCGAAACTCAGTTATAATCTGCATCCATAGCTCTTCATATGATGGTTTTTATGAATTTATTTTCTTGAAAATTTCCTCACAATAATTATTTTATTTATTTTCATCCACTTTAATATTAATTTAATTGTAATTCTTTCTATAATATTATTCAATTCATAACGTTACTCAGATTGAAAGATTAAATTGACAGCAATTTTTCATTTTCATGAAATATGAAAAACAAAAAATTTGTCTTGAGTTCGAATCCAAATTTTACCATTTTTAAAAAAAAATTTTAATAATATTTTCATTTTGAATTGAAAATGAAAATAAAAAAAAATTTTATCCTCGTGAATATTTAAAAAATAAAAATATTTTTGAAAAGTATATGTATACTATAATTTGGTGGTTTATATTAAGAATTAGTTCCTATATATTTGGTATGAGTGTTGTTGAGATTGTGGTTTGTTGTGTGAATGTGTTATTAGATTAAGTTTAAAGTTTTCAAAACATTTTTTCGACTTAGATTTTTAGATTTGTAGTACGACCGCACAAGCTGTGGCTAGAGGCTGGTCAATTTTTAGACCGGACTTAGGTCTTGATCCGTCAAAATTTTGACATTTTTTGTTTTTATATGTAAATAATATGATTGATTTCGAAGCCAGATTTTACAATTTAAAATTTTTGTTTTTTTGTATTTTGAAGCTTTTTTTTTGTAAAACAATAAAATTTATATTAGAAGAAAAAAATTTTATGATATCTAGAGACCTTTGTTCAAATCCACATTTCTATTAATATTTACATTTTTAATAGAAAAACATAAATTTTATGGAAAATTTTTATTTAAAGTAAGTTTAATGAATCATTTCACATTTGAATCAAAATATTGACATTCGAGTTGAAGTAGTTGCAGAACACAATTTTATTTAAAATTAAATTTAAAAATAATAAAACAATGAATTATGATGCAAACAATAAAAATGGCTATTGCAATTCTATCGAGAAAAGAATGATCCAAAAATTTTAGTAGTCAGAGGATTTGTTTTTTTGTCACGGAAGATATAACTCAAGGTTAATGAAATAATTATGCTTCTTGAATTTGTAATATATTAGAAAAATTAACAACGGAGAAAAGTTGGATTCAAAATTCCTGTACTGGTTTTCGAAAATATGAAATTTATATTTTCTTTTGTATACTTACATGTATTAAAATAATTATATTCGGCATTACGGAGAATAGGGCGGAAAAATCTTTAAGTGACTTCGGCATGTTAAAAACTTCCAGATGATAATCACCAAAGTCGATTTAAGAATATTGCAATGGAAGGGGTATTGTCGAATAAATAAACATTGGGGAAACGATTGTGAACTTATGTCCGATAAATAATTAGAAATTCTGTATGAAAAAATTTTCGGTTGTTGTGCGCTATCGCTTCTATTTCTTTATTTAAAATATACAATTATTGTAGTGAAACACAATTTGTAGAACTGTAAAATTTCGATGTATTTTATTAAAATTTGAAACTGTCCCCAAATTACCGCAGTGTCATTCATATAAAAAATTCGAACAAATACATTAACTTTTGTACCTAAAACAAACCAAAAGTAGATAGATACATTGAAAACAATAAAAAAGAAAAAGGAAGAAAAATATGAAATAAAAAAAAATGCTTTTATTTTTAAAATAAGGGAACACCAATAAAGATTCCAAAATCTTAAAAATTTTAAAGATTCATTTAATTTAGTGTAGGAGTTTAATGCAAATCAAACCTTTCCTTTTGTAGACATATTATGATGTGTGGTTGAATGCTCTGTTTAAAATTGACCGCAAACTTCAATCAATCAATAAGTGAAACAAGATGAATTTCAATTCGTCTTACTTTATAACAGTAATTTACAAAGTAGGAAACAGTAAGTGTTGGTTAGAATCGATTAGTTTTATTTACGGCTATCGAGATATGAATGCTTCTATTTGTGTTATAAAAGTTTCTTCAAAATTTTAAAAATTTATTCTCCATTATTAGTATTGGATGATATGAACTGAACATAAATACGTTTATGATCAATTTAATTGATTTGATTATTAGATAATATTAGAAAAATAGTAAGATTAGCATTTGGCAAAAAAATTTCGGTAGGGCTCATTGGATGGAGACCTGTTCTTCGAGCTGTTTCCCTAATTCCTTAGTGCTTGTTTCGTATTTGCAGTTATGTATTTTATACACATAAACATCTACACATAAAAAACTTTAACTTTAAAAGTAACAGGAAACTAAAACGAATTATAGATACAGATTGAAAATCATAAAAATAAAAATAATTTCTCTTTATATATACGAATAATAAATAATAAGTACATAAGTATATCTATATGTGTACGTAGATATGTACATACATTATTTATATATATCAATATTTTTTCCCTCATTGCTTATATACCGAACTAAAAAAAGCATTTGTTATGTACATACAAAAGTATATAAAATTTGTATAATAACGACACTCACGCATAGCGCAGCAGCAGCCGGTTGTATTAAAAGTATATACACACAATTGCACGATTCAATATACAATTATATACTTATAAAATACATTCGTATATATTTTTATATTACAATAAAACGAAATGTTACCAGAACTTATGATTTTTAAATACATAATATAAAAAAATTTTAAAAATATTTTCTTTAAATATCTTTAAATTTGTAAATTTCAAATGAAAAATCTAAAACTGACTTCTCCTCATCCTTTTTAAAGTTCTTGTATTTCGAACTTTTGCGACATATGTGAGCCATCATCAGTATATCAGAAATTTAAATTTGCCTATAATAATAAAAAGTCATTCTTATAAAAGCAATATTTTTATATTACCTTACCGCTCTCGCATATCTTTTAATGAGATAGTTGCCGAGCCGATGATTTTAAATACAAAACCTTTATTCATAAGTTAAATATATCAAAATTTACATAGATAGAATATACAAAAATTATACATAGATAGATTAAAGATCTCATAGATAGGTGCGCTCTTTATACCTCTTTGTGTGCTATAAACGAAACCATGACATAAAGCGTAAAGGCGTACAAAAAATATTTTGAAGAGGAGGTGATGGTTCTAAAGAACTGCATAAAAAAATAACGCAATTAACGCATACAGAATCACCGTAATTGCAAAAAAAAAAAAACACAAACCCTTAACATAAGACTGACAGCTGTCACATTCTCATCTTAGTCATATTATAAAAATAATCGTATCTCTTTATTAATTAAAACGTCAACTTTTGTTTGTTGCATGTTACATTTTGTATTCAATGTCACAAATAAGAAGCCTCACATTTTTTTTTTTTTGCTAACGCACGGTCTTATTACAGTCAAAAAATCAACTTTAAATAACTTCCAGTATTTGTAATTGATATTCTGAGAAACCAATAGTATCATATGTGTTCAAATTGAAATTGACTTTGGTTTTGAATGTAAGACAATGTTTGCAGTAAACTTTGTTGGCAACTCCAATAATAAATACGTATTTATATGACAATCTATTTTCATTGCTTTTATTATATATTCAGTATTGAAAGACAATCATACAAACCTACTTTATGTAATAGACAGAGACCTATCTTCGAATTCAAAAGTATATAATATAGAGATATGAGATATTTAGGTATATGTGCATGTATATTCGTAAACGTAATTCATACACACACATACACTATTGTAATACATATTTGAATATAAGACGGGGAAAAAAAATTAAAACCTAAGTAGAAAATAATAAAAAAATCAAAAGAAAAAACGAAAATAAAAAGAAAAAAAAAATATTTTTTCGGTACATCATTTCAACACAAAATTTTTGTTGCTTTTGCTTTTTATTTTTATTATTGTTGTTTTTATATTATTATTATTATTATTTTTTTTTGTTTTGTCTTTTTTATTTTATTATTTTTGTTTTTTTCTTTTATTTTCTTTTTCTTTTTGAATTTAGTGGATTGCATGAATGTTACTGACTGAGACTCTCAGAATATACCACAAATTATTGTATTGTCATGGCGTCGTCAGCGACGTTGTGTGTCTGGCAGTCGTCGTATCAGAACTGAATTAAAATAAATAATAATAAAAAAAAAAATATAATAAATAAATAAATAAATAAGAAATAGAAAATAAATAATAAAAGCAAAAAAATATTTGATAAAAAAATATATATATTTTTTTTTTAAATATAATTTGCAAACTGCAAAACAGAGATAATCACAAAAAAAATAATAAAAAATAATAATTTTTAATTTTAAATAAAATAAAAATTATATATAAATATATATGTATATACATATATATTATATACAATAAATAATTTTGGAATTGAAGACGCGAAAGTTGACGTAAATGAATCGCGTGCTGATTTTCGGCGGTTTAGTAAGCATTTTTGTTTTCTGATATTTTTCGGTTTTGAAACCCGGTTCATTTTTCGATTTTTGTTTCTATTACAAAAATTATTTGTGTGACAACAAGAAAAAAAATAATAATAATAAAATTTTTTTAATTTTAAAATATGCAACGATCTTAGAAATTTTAATTTATAAATAATGAAAAAGAAAAAATTAAAAATAATTTAATAAAAAAAATATTTTAAATATCAAATGTCATTTTTGTATTTTTTTTTTTTTTTTTTGTTTGAAAATATTCAATATTTAAACGAGTGTATTATTTGTTATAATTTTATAATAAAAAGAAAAAAATATTAAATTAATTAAAACAAAAATTTGAAGTATTATTAAAAATAAATAAGAAAACCGAATTATTAAAATAATATTAAGAAAATATTTATAAAAAATGTATTACTATTAATAATAGTAGAAAAAAGTATTGTTTACATCACACACAGGATATATTTAAAAAAAAGAAAAACAACAACAACAGCAACAAAAGAGAAAGCGAAAATGTAAACACACAATCACAATATCAAGGAAGAAAAATAATTTTTATATTTATAAAAAAAAACAATAATTGTTTTTGACAGATTAAAAATAATAAACACTAAGAAGTGAATGTGTTAATTGTCACATTAATTGTTGTGTGAATGTGATTATATAAAATAAAAATGTATATAATTGAATAAAAAAAGTATAATTTTGTTTTACAAAAAAAAAATAAATAAATTAGTATTTATTATTTAATTTAAAAGAAAAGAGAAGATAAATAAAAATTAAAAAAAAAAATTAGTAGCCATAATGGAAATGAAAAGGACTTGTAGATGATTAAGAACAATTAAGACACAAAACAACATTTTAAAAATGTTATGATTTCTTTGAATCACAAAATTTAATAAAATTTTTTGACATTTCTTTTAAACTACAAAAAGTCAAACAAAAAAAAAATAAATTTATAAAATAATCAAACAAAAAAAGAAAATTTATTATTATTATTGTTATTTTACAATTTTACGTTTTTAAATGTGTATATATTTCACAATACATTTTGAGTTGTCAAATTATTTGACAACTCTTGAATATATGAATGACAGATAAATATAGTGATTCAAAGCCGTCGGTAATATCATTAATTAGTGATTTTATCCAAAAAAAAATTACAAATATAGAAAATTCAGAGTGTTAGTATTATTATTATCTTATTTATACATATATAATTTTTTTTAAAATTAATAAATATAATATATATATTAATAACGAAAAATTTTGATATACCTATATTTAATTTAATCTATTTAATAATCTGTTTTTGTTTATTTTTTTTTTTTTTTCAAAAATTTAATTTTTAAAACTATGATTTGCTCCCATATCTATATTTACAATACATGAATGCATATTAAGTTTTTAATTTATAGGTATATTTTAAATTTAATTAAAAAATTCTATTGAAATATAAAATAAGTATGTTTGCATTATAATATGTGTATTGAATTTTGATAAATACAATGTACATACTGAAATATACTAAATGATGAAATTTATATTTATTACATGTAAACTATACATGTACGTACTTAAACCGGTTTTTGAGGAAGAAAAAAAAAAATAGAATGAGAGGGTGAAATTGAAAATGAAATATATACAGTAACTTTGTTGAAGTTTTCAAATTTGACATTTCAATTGTCAAAATTATCACAGTGACTTTTGACAGTTTGAATGTCAATTAATAATTAAATTTTAATAAAATTGATTAAATTATGTAAATGATGTATGCAAAAAGCAATTAGTTTTTACTTATGTATATATACTTGTATATGTATAACATGTGCAACTATATTTGTTATTTATTAAGCATTGTATTTCATTAAATAAATTAACTATTATTTTAAGTTTAATTATAATGTTTTCTCAACTATATATTTTGGAATAAAATTTACATATGTATAACAGATTATGTGTACATTGTGTTCAGATATTTTTGATAAATATGAAATTTAAGAAGATTGTCAAATTTTAAATGATTTCTCAATTTCTCTTTTAAGAATATTGAAGATTATTTTAATGCCGAATTTGTTCTGATTTTTGGAAGATGTTAAAGTCTTTTTAATTAATTTTTGCTTTCATTTCAAATAAAATTTTAAAATATTACAGTTATGTAAATGTTTTATACTCGGTAGATAATGTAGGTTTATTTAAAAATTTTAAATAAAATTTGATTTTTATTTCGAGTCTTCTTGTTTGATAAATATATTTTACGTTTTTTTTTTGTTGGCATAGTGTGAACTTTTATGTTCTCTAATTCACTATACTGTACTATATACTGTATTTACTTTTTCAAAGAAAAGAAAACAATAATAAACGAAAAAGGATATGAACATGAGAAAGAGAAAAATATAGTGATTTTTATTTTTTTTTATTGCCTCAAAAAATGTGCTTTGCTTCAAATATCTAAATAAAAAAAAAAATTAAAAAAAAAGTATGGTAAAACAAAAATTTATAAAAAAAAATCTATAATAATACCTAAATTCATACATACATACATATGTGAGTCTGTATTAGTATCTGAAAAAAAGTGTAAAGATACATAATTTTCTTAGTGTGAATTTCTTGATAATAGCAGTAAATTTACAGCAGGGGTTTAAAATATTCGAACGAAATGAATTCTTATAAATAAATTCTTCCAAATTTTAATATTAATAAAATTTTTAATAATATTATTAATGGGTGATTTAATTAAGTATACCTTATAATTATAAAGATTACTTAATCATGTTTTAATTCATTTAATAGGTTCAGAATTTTCAACATTCTCCTTTTATTTCCCTAACGTCTCTTTGGTTAAGACTAGCTTTGAAAAATCGATTTTTTCTCTGAATTGGGGCAATATCTGTTCGTAGAACTTCATGGTTTTATTAACCTTATTTATTCAAGGGTTGTTGGTAACTCAATTTTTGCGTTTTTTTCAAAATCTTTCTTCTCTTTAGCAGATTTTGATAAACTGTGAGTCAAATTCAAAATAAGTTGCTTAATTTTTAATAATGATTTCTAATAAACTGTTACACTTGACAGTTTACATCGTTAACGTAGTAAATGTAGGGCAACTACAGTTGTGGAGAAACTCTATTGAGCCTACACCGGTTTACTGTGTATATTAGGACAAGAATCCATGGAGATGTATTAATATTTCTAAATACATTCACCATATTGATTGAATGTACTTACTAATAATTTTACTCGTCAAATTTTATTTCCACTATTCCATCTTTGTGTATGTGTATTTGTGTATATAGAATTTCTAAAATTATATTTTAAGTTAAACAATTATGTATGTAAGTATTATGAATGTATGTATGCATAAATAGATAGTTTTTAATTGTGAAAGATTACTTTCAATTAGATATCTTCAAATGTCATTTTTGAATTTTTCATTTTAAAAATCAAAATAATTATTAAAAGTTTGTAAGAAAGAATTGAGTATTCTTTCTTCTTTATTGCTCATAATATTGAATCATAAAAAAATTTAAAAAGTCCACATTTCTTTGGCAGAGATTCAAAATAATTTTATTATTTTTCTCTTCTTTTTTTTTTTTTTTTTTGGAAAAGTACAATATCATCTACTACCGCTACTACTACTATTAGTACTACTACTACTACCTGTATTAATTTTGATAATTCATGTTGACAAACGTACTATTAATTTATATTTCTGTATGTGTGTGTGTGTGTGCATCCATACTTTTAATCGCAAGTATAGATAAGCAACGCGCTATATCAAATTATACATACTGTGTGTATAGGATATGAACGTGTAAATGTAAATTTTATGAAATCTTAATGCTATTAAAAGCATTCGAATGAAATTTTATATGAAAAAGAAAATAGAAAATTTAAAAAAAGGGAACAAACAAAAAACCAAAAACGAATTTTTATAAAAATTTTCATATTTTCCTTACATTTTTATTTTGCATTTTCATAAATCTAAAGCTGCGTGTAGTATATAATGTTATAGGTATGTACATATGTAGGTATTATAATTTCATTGTGTTCCGAAACAATTGAAATGTACAATCATACTCCTACAAATACAATTTTAAATTGATCATGTAGGTTTTTATTTGCAATTTGAACAGGTCTCTGACATTTGTTGTACTCTGGCATTCTCATTTGTAAACCAAACTTTTTTAATGGTTTTTGGTTTTCTTGAAATTTGATTTTTTCGTGTTTCTAAATATTTTATGTATCAATTGAAATAATTACAATGATTTTATAGAGGAAATTTTATAAAATGCATAAAATTTTGTCTTTTTTTTTTTGGAATTGGAGAGTAAATTCTTTGTTATGTAGAGTAATCTTAAATTTTCCCACCATAAGAACACATTCCTTGCACATTATTTACTATTTGAACTCTGGAAATTTTTTACTTTTCTTACTCTCTGAATGTCCATTATATCTTTGTTTTTATTCTAAAGTACGCTAATGCACGTATATGTGTGTGTACATACAATGGAATAGAATATATTGGTAAAACCGAAGAGCGAATATATTTAATACATTTGATTTTAAACTTTGAATCTATGCATATTTTGTAATAATATGTGTGCCTAAAATATTTGACTAAATATATATAATACAATACAAACGTAGCAATTGAAAAAAAAAAAAAAAAACAAATATACATTTATGCACATATACACACAAATATAGATAAAATTTTATTCTCTTTAAATTACAATAATGTAGTATAAGTAATTTGCTTTCTCCAAGCAAACATAAATACATATGTATTTTCAATATGCTATCCCTGATATAATAAAATTGTTCAATAGTGCAATGCATGTGTGTGAGCAAAATAACAATTTATCAATTTTATTTTTATATTACATTATATTTCTCTTTCTTTTATATTAATTATCAATATAACAAAACATTATTACAAATTCATGTAGTATACATGCACTTATTTATGCATTTTATAAGTGTAATATTACATCCTTGAGAAATATTTTTATATAAGAATGTAAAATCATGTGTATATACATTATATATTTTATGAACATACGGGCATACAAGTTTGCAGCAATAAAATAATAAAAAATAATAGATACGTATATGTACATATATAAAAATAATTTTTATACTCATGCATACATAATAATATTATGTATTTATAAAAACTGTTATAATATTCGTATAGAAACATAAATTTATTGAAGTACATACGAGTATGTATTCCTAAAATGAATGAGCACCTTAATATAATTTGAATAATATAAAATTGAATGAATATACTTGTGTGAGTAGAATTTATATAAAATTTAAAATTATACGTATGCAATTATTATGAATGTGTATATAGGTATAAATATGTACATATATATCTCGCAAGTTTGTGTTTCAATTTAAAGAACACAACCAAATACACTTAAATCACGAATTTAACCTAATACATACATCATGCTATCATATTTAAAAATATATGTATTTTTATTCTCTTCTATTAAACTATTGTACATGCATGTATGTATATACAAATCAATGTGGATAATAATTATGTGTAAACATTTGTTCCAAATCTATAATAAGTATATAAAAAGTATATGTACCAAAATATAAGCAATACACATATTTATGGCAAAGCAAACATAGAATAAATGAAATAGTATAATAATAATAATATTATGCTGCATAAGTATATAAATGTTATACTAATATAACACTATAATTTAAATATGCATACATAAGAATATGCGTATATACGTATATTTCGGTATACATAAAAGTGTGTGCATTTATGTATATAAATATTAATGTGTGCGTGTGGAAGAGTGCGGTGTTTTTTTTTTCTTCTCATTTTTGTTATACTGTTTTTTTTTTTTAATATTATTAATTATTTTGGTTTTTTTTTTAACTTATTTTTTTTTTTTATGAAAAATGTGCTAAAAAATAAACAAATTTTGAAATATACTTTTTTTTTTCTTGTTTTGTTTACTTTGTATTTATAAATAAAAAAAAAAATTTCTAAATAATAAAAATAAAAGAAATGAAAAAAATTTACTTATTTACTCCCTTAAATGTCGAATTTCCAAGAAATTATTTAGAACAAACAATTTACAAATTAATTTTACTTTTGTATATACTTTATACTTTATACTTTAATTTAATATACAAATGTAGTACCTAT